TTAATAATAGTCTGTTGAGTGAATTGCTTTCTCTGGGATATTTTATCCTACACTTTACCAAATTTTGATCTGAGAAGTGTGGCTTGAAATGCACTTAAATAAACTGACATTGACAATGCCACTTAGATGTTCTATGGGGTGTTAGTAGTTTGCAGGCTAATAAAGCATGGTAATTCAATGCTATTGCAACAGACCTGGTTTAAGGACACATTAAAATGCATACAAATAATAAAACTGTGAAATAATGAACTTAGCAACTCCATAAAATTAGAAAAGGGTTAAAGGTTGTTAAATTTACAGGTGGAAACCATGCTGACATTGTAGACTTAATCAAATACAGTCGACCAACACTAGCAGACATATGATATATGATTAGGACTGTATGTAGCTTCCCTAATCAACAATGGATCTGGAAACCTCACACTAAACCTTCAACCTGAATGCCATGTCTCTCCTTTTGCCTCCAGATTCTGGAATTTAAAACAGATTGCTAAATGTATTTTATGTTCCGTATTGGAAAATATTAGAAATTTATAAGAATTACTATCTTTTGGACCCAATGTGACACACAATAATTTATGATATGGCAACATGTTTTGTTTTTTTTTGTTTCTTTGTTTACTGTCTTGAAATCTTTGTTGGTTTAAAACTTTTTTTGTTTTTTTGTTTTTTTTTATGACCTTAGTTCTGTTAAGGATAATACACTTAAACAAAAATTAAGGTATCCCAGCATCTACCAGAGAATCTTCGGCTGAAAAAATCCTTAAGCATCAAAAGTGTTGGGCATTTTCAGAAATTAAGAGTTAAAATTGAGAATTTTAAAATCTGTTCACACAATAAAAGCGTTGATAGGAGTGTCATTCTTCAATGTATCCAGCAGATGGCAGCATCTTAAAAAGAAATGGTAGGCCTATCTGTTTTCAGAATTATATGGCTTTGCTGTTGGCTCTAATGAAAAAGAAAATGTACAAATTCATAATTTTCATTTGAACACGGACAATCTGAGATCTTTTTAAGAAAACATTAGATAATAAGAATGAAACAGAATTTATGTGTTAAAACTTAACTAATTTCAGGTAACTTCAAACATCTTTTCATAATCCCACAATCCAAGCAATGAAACTGCGTTATAAATGGTGTTTTATAAGTATAAAACTGACTGTTCATTTGCATTAGATTTTTTTCTTCAATAATGAAATAAAAAAATTCAAAAATAAGGGTATATGTCATTAATAAATTATGTTTATTAACTAATAATTTTAAAAAGTTTAACGTAGTACTAATAAAGGCTGTCTCTGGTCTGAGCATTAGAATCTTTGGGGATGATTGTAGAGAATCACATTTGAGACAGTGTTATTCAACACCGTTTTCAGGTCTGCAAAGGAAACTATATTTGTGAAGGTTTCCTGAGCAATAGTCAAGTTTGCTGTGAAACAGTTTCCTCTTAATCATTTTTATTTAATTAAACTTTATTGATCTCACATTGGAGAAATGTGTCTCCGCATTTAACCCCTCCCCTGGGGGAGCAGTGGGCTGCCACTGTGTGGCAACCTGGGAGCAGTGTGGGGTTAAGGGTGTTGCTCAAGGACCCAGTCTGTGGGAGTGGGCCTTGAATTCAGAACCTCTGGATTCCAAGCGCAATGCTCTGCACTTTGCTCACTTGTACAGCTGAGTATGGACAATGTCAGGTAAAATAGTATAAAGTTGATCATTGCAAAGTACAATTGTATATTAGAAATAACAAACTATATGAAATCTGCATGTGTACAGATATTTATTAATACTTTATACGAGTCATATTTCAGAAAGGTTTATCTACACCAAAGGTGATGAAATTTCAAAATGAAAAATGTTGTCTTGTCAAGTAATACTAGTTAAAACAAGTTTCCCCCAGAAACATACAGGTTTTCTTCTCAGCCAGTCTCATAATACCTATTTACACAAACAAGTGAGTATAAGAAAATGTCATGATTCTGCTCTTTTTGTTTCTGTTTAAGTTTTCTTTTTGAGTTTTCAGTTACAGTTTGATTCTTGTCTTCCTGTCTTTTCTAGTTATCTGTTTTAATTTCCTTTTTTTTTTAAATTCTAATTGTTTCTGGTAATATTTTTTGAGTTCTCATGTATTTCTTGTTTACCCTTTGTTGCCCCTTGTGTCAGTCTCCTTACCCGCGCTCCCTTCTAGATGCTTCCATCCACACCTGTTCCTTGTCAGCTCATTAGCCAAGTCTTTGTTCTGTCTCCCATATATACTCTCATTGTTCAGTTCCTCAGTGCCAGTTCCTTGTCGTTTCCTGGCTCCTCGTGTATTTTCCTTCATGTCTCCTAGATTTTGGTTTTCTGTATTTTGTTATTATTGAATTTTTGCTTCAGTTGTCAGTTTTTTGTTATTAAATATTGATGGTGAGATCAATGGTGTAACGACACAACAATAGGCCCGTAAGCAACATTATCTGGGTGGGCCCCATATGAAGTACAAACCCTCATCCACCCCACCCACACCCCCTCCGCCGCCGCTACAGTAGACACCGACCCGAAATGTGCCCCATACATACACATACCGGTCAGTCAACCTAGCATCAGGTGGGTTAAAAAGGAATTTTTCGCACCATTTCATCTGCAAAAAACATCTTAGTCCACAAGGGGGCCCCCCACAGTTCATGTGAACATGTCACCACCTACTGGTGGAATGCATATCTACAGTTAGTAATATAATCTCACATTTTTTTGCAATTGTTTTTCTTGTTTTTCCCCATTTAAGTTCCTTTGAAATTGTTAATGATTGGTGTGTATAATAAAATCTCTTGTAAGTTATTTTGTGTGTAAAATGTCTTAGAAGAGAAAAATCATTTAAGGTACATTTTTCTGCCATTTTAGTGAAATAAGATCAAGCAGATCAGTGAAAGTGTTTGTACAAATTGGACAATGATTAGCAAAATTAAAGGTGTTCATTATTTTTGATTCAAACATAATGGTTTTTCCGCAGTTTTGGTTTTAATTGGGTTGTAAGTTATGTGTTCAACCAACCATTTTGGTTAAACCAACCAATCTAATTTGGCAGTGTTTTTACCCAATCTATATTTGTGTTCAACACACACCTCAAAGCCTCGGCTCATCTGTCTCTGCATTTGGGTTCCCTTCAAATCTCAACTCAATCTGACAGAAAGCCTCATTCACTTTTTGAAAAGCATTGAAAGGGTGGGCAAGACAAAGATTTCGGATGGTTAGTTTACTGACATCTGGGAGAAATCAACTGAGCTGGGAGAAAAAGTGACATTATGAAAAATCTCACAAATCCTCCAAAATAAAATAGAGTAACAAGGACAAAACCAATTACCTGCATGCATCGCAGGGAAACACACCAGAGAGGTGGCAGAAACCCCCCAAAAACAAAAGTATAATAATAAATACAAAATTGAGGAACAAGATATATCATGAAGCTATCCTGATCTAACTCTATATGAAGGTCTACTGCATTGTTCTTAATGGATGAATCATGGATCACTGAATGCACTAATCACCTGCTTTCTGTATTTTAATCACAAGCATCTTATCCACAGTTATGTTCTCTGGCACTCCTGGAATAATCCTTTTCTGTGAAGCAAACACTTTTACTATTTTTCCATTTACATGTTCTGAATAATTGTGTGTAAAAGCTGCAGTTTAACCTAAATGCTTTTTATATATTTTTATGCAAAGTAATCCAATATATATGTATTCTTGTAAAGTAAAACTGTCAAGACAGTCAGCACTAATAAACAGTAATACTGTATGTGCCTGCCTTACTTGACGTGTTGACTCTCAGCACCAGCTAATCATGCCAACTGATCTATGCAAAGTTTAACCCAACAAACAAGCTTACTCTCAGCTAATGACTCCAGCAGCCTAATTTTAAAGCTATAATCCACAAACCAGATATCCCTTGTTCACTCTGGCTCTCAAATGGTGTATGTGAATACTTATTGAACTGATGTATTTTAATAACAAATATTTGTAATTTTCTACTATTTATTTGTAGTGTTTTAGTTTTATCTACATTAAGTAAAAATACTCAGGATATTAGTAACAAATCTTGAAAATTTCAGAATGAATCAACATCAAATGAAGGTACAGATAGCCATTGATGTTGTGGGAAAAAAAACACATATATGTAGGAAAAATTGATGTAAATACAACTGAAGCTGCAATGAAACCTTAAATATAAACTCTTCAACATATCGATGAATCCTCTAAGATATAAGGAACTGATTAACTAAGAGCTGGAAGGCAGTGTTAATATAACACTGGCTTTAGACACATGATTCTTCTCAAACATCTCTTTTGCTCAACGAGAGGGACAGGTCAACATTTCTGTAGACTGATGACAAAAAGGCCGCAAGAAGAAATCCAGTGAAGATATTTCTGTCAAAGAGGTCAAAAAAAGTTATTAGTTTCATTAGTCAGTCTATACATTTTCATTTATTCTAATGAGTGCAATAACATGTATTTTTGTCTTCAGGTTTAACCAAAAAATGTTTTTTTTTTTTTTCCAAATATGAATAATAAAAATGATAAAAAATAAAAATGTTAGAATTGTAGATTTACAGCCATATGTTTATATTGCTGTTTATATATATATATATATATATATATATATATATATATATATATATATATATATATATATATATATATATATATATATATATATATATAATTCTTTTTTTTACTATTTTTCAAAGCTGCACTTTAAAAAAAAAGATGAAAATGTCCAGAGATCTGTTTCAAACTAAATTTCTTTTTGTTTTACACCTGTGTAAGCAAAATGACAAATAAATCTCAGTCTGAGTCTAACACTAAAAGGGTAAGAAATCAATATATGAACATATGTCTGATCTCTGTAATTGAAGCCAATTTCCTTGATTGCTCACGCAATGATGGCCATAAAGCTGATTGGAGTTTCTAAATACAAAACTTATGTTTAAGCAGCCTAATCTTGAAAAAAGTAGAAAAAAAGGGTATTTCTTTAACTTATATATTTAGTTATTTTTATTTCAATGATAACTATGGGTTGCTGATGGGCGCACAATAAAAGAATAAGCACACAAGCATTTTGAAAAAAGAAAAACATTATATTAACTTATTTACACATTGACACTTCATGAAAAGAAGGCTGTTGATTTATGTACATGCACCATAAAATATAAACTAAACAGGAAAGAATAATAGAACATCTTAAGTCAGTGTAAAGAAACATGTTTACAAACTAATAAGCAGCTTTTCTTTATATTCTTTATAGTTATAAATAATTCTTGCAATGGGTTCTCATGGTGTGAAAAACCAAATTACAGTTAACTGATAAAAAATTATGGAAGCAATAAAGCCTCTATTTGTCAAGGAAAACCTGTTTTTTTTTAAAGAAACAGCAAAGAGGTATGGAAGAAAATCAGGCAAAAAAAGTCTTGAATTTTTTCCATGATTGGGTCCTTTTTACATCACAGCAAAGGCAAAGTTTACACATCAGAAGTTAGCACTCTTTCTTCTGTTCTGTTCCAGGACCCATCCAGCCGGATTCATGTCCAACCTTAACATATTAAGAACCCATGAATCTTGCTGTGCCCCTTTAACAAATTCCTCCAAAGTAATGTGACCTGTAAAGGAAGAAAGATACCAGTTCAATGCTCTCTGTTTGTAGTACTTTTTCTACTATGTTGTAACACTTTTTTCTCACCATCTCTGTCAAAGTCAACAGCGTCTAATATTCGTTCCACGACCTCATCAACCGACAGACTGGGCTCGTTCATGTCTTTTTTTGAGAATTTCTTGATCCGATAGATGCTCTGAAATAAAGACAAAAATACAGAACAGGAGACACTATATTTAGGTATTTCATGACAATGATAACAGCCAGAGTACAGTAGACGGTGCTTGTCTACCCTGAACTTAAATGCAAATACACTTAAGAAATGAACACAACTCATATCATTAATTTTCATAAAAGTGGTATATTTAAACAATAAAGCTGTTTTTAAAAAGGAAATAGAATTGTTAGTTAAATAAGACCAAAATACTCATAACAATTTTAATCTCTTTTCTTTGATGAGAAAAGTGTTTTTTATGCCTTTAAAAAAAAATATTACCGTAAACAAGTTTTTAATACAATTTCTGATGTGACGCTTTTCAACTGCCCTTAAGGACTACAGATAAAACCAGCCTTTGTATTTTTGTGGCATGTTTCATGATTATGCACTGTCCTGGTAAAAAAAAAAAAAATTGGAAATTTGAAAACAGCTGCTGGCTTGACTCCCACCTGATTCAGACCAGACTGTCTCTTGTTAATGCCACATTAACTACTCATAATCCCATTATTATTAGTCACTAAAGCTTTTCTGAGTTTTGATGTGATTGCTACTAGTTACTGTATGTGCTAGTTACACCTGCCGAGGCAGAATATTGTATTAATATGCCAGTGTATCAAAACTGTGACAATTTTCTGCAAAACGTAAAGTAATTTTAAAGGGTTTCCAGGTGCTGCACTGTTTTCGGCTATAGGGAACATAAAGGCAACACTGTCCCTACCTCAAATCTCACTGCTAGTTTGCTGGTTGTATGGTCTTGTGATAATACAAAAAGTTTTGTGTTTTGTACTCATGATGGTTACGGTACAACCTGCATCAACATTATGTTGGGAGCTGGAGAAATTCCACCTTGATCCTGCCCTTATCGAGGAGTATGAGCGTTCCTGCCCATCAACCTCTTCCGGACCGCCAAGGGGCGGTCGTTGAGGGGGGGTACTGTTGGGAGCTGGAGAAATTCCACCTTTCTCCAGCAGAGTCCGCCGTGGATCCTCTGAGGGAGCCTCTTGCACAGCTGCAGCTCATCAAGATCATCAGAGGATCCACTACTTAAGCTGTCTTCAGACCTTGCCTCAACGCCGCAGTGTTGTTCCAGATGGTCAGCGCTTAAGCCTAGATCCTCAGTGTTACTCTATGACTTTTGAATCCAGCTTGGATTCTAACTCTTGTCTCTGTCTTCCAGGAAACCTGTGCCTCCTCTGTGAAAGCTCAGGAAGAGCTAACCTGCCGAGCCGACCCTCAGGGCCAAACCTGAAGAATCACAGAGAACTTCCAAGCAGCTCTGGACTAGAGCTGGGAAATCCTAAACCAAGGTCTGTTCATATTAGACGTGAGACGCTGAAGCAGCAAACGGACTCTGCTGATGAACTCATCTCCAGATCCAACAGAGACCCTCCCAAAGCTAACCTCAAGAACCCTCAAGGTACAATCTGTAAACTTCAGGAAATCAAACCTCTGTTGGCAACGCTAACTGAACTGTCTCTCACGCAGACTCCGGTGAACCAGTATCCAGGCCCCGAACCTGAACCAGAATATTCTGTGTGCTTGTGCATCAATAAACTTGTTAAACTTTCATCCCTGTGTCCGTCAGTGGTGTTCTGCATTCTTGGGTCGCTTTTAGTGAACCCATCATGACAGAACACTGCGGCAAAACACAAGGCCCAGCAGATCACTACCTCCGTCGACTAGAGGAAAAGGCTGCCCAGATCCATGGACACGGCCTGGCTCTACGTGAGTTAAACACCCACATAGAAAGACAAAATCAAGCTATTCAAAGCTATGCTAACTACGTGAACAGCGCTAATGCTGCATCGGTACAACAACCATTTCCGGGTCCAGTCCCTCCTCCTAGGTCACCAGCAGTGACGTCATCTGAGTTCCGTCCTAGTCTCCCTGAAAGATTTTCTGGTAACATGAAAGATTGCAAAGGATTTTTATTTCAATGTCGATTGATTTTTCAGAACTCCCCTGGCAGCTTTTCCACGGATTATAAGAAAATAACTTTCATTCTCTCACAGTTAACAGGAAGAGCCTTGGAATGGGCTCAGGCAAGATTTGCCGCTGACGAGAGCTTAAACTGCTACTACTCTGATTTCATCTCTGAATTTAACCAGGTATTCAACCAAGAAACTGACCAAACTATTGATTCCAGAGCTCTTTTCAACCTAAAACAGGGAAACTCTTCGGTGGCTGAATTTTCCATTAACTTCCGGGTTAAAGCGGCAGCTTCCGGATGGAACCAAAGCGCTCTAAAGGGAGCCTTTTTCATGGCATTAAATGAGCACATTAAGGATGAGCTCGCAACCCTCGACGAACCAGCTACCCTCGAAGATCTAATTCGCCTCTCCATTAGATTGGATAATAGAATTCGTGCCAGAAACAGTTCAAAGAAGCAGGGTACACTTTCTTCTGCCTCACATAACGTGACTGATTGTTTTTCCTCTACAGAGCAGCTGCCCATTCAGAGGCCTAAGTCCCAGTCTCTTCCGTTGCCTATTCAGGCCTCTCATTTGAGCGAAAAGTATGTCGAACCCATGCAGGTGGGACACACTAGGCTCACTCCAGAGGAGAGGCAAAGGCGTTTTCTAAGCAAACTATGTATTTACTGTGGCGAGAGTGGACACTTCATCGCTTCCTGCCCGGCTAAATCAAAAGCCTGGGCCCGCCAGAAGATCTGAGGAGTCTGGCGGGCCAGATAAACACTAAGAAATCTCCTCGACTGTTAATTCCTGCCACGTTTTTCTGTGCTAATCAAAACCTCTCTTTTTCTGCATTCATCGACTCAGGCTGTGAACGTAACCTAATCGATTCTAACCTCGTCCAGCAACTCCAAATTGAAACAATTCCTCTGACTCAGCCTCTCAGTGTATCCGCTATTGACGGAAAAAGACTCCATCAAGTTACACATCAAACTCAGCCCCTCGAGCTACTTCTGTCAGGTAACCACTGAGAGACTATAACATTTTTTGTTTTTCCCTCTGCATGTTCCCCGCTGGTGCTCGGTTTCGAATGGTTGGAGAAGCATAATCCTCACATTAACTCCATCTCATGCCATTAGACATGCCTCCGTTCTGCTGCCCCCTTGGTGGGGTCTCCTAGAGGTGGGGGGGAGATGGACTCTCCTGACCTTTCTTCAGTTCCTTCTGAGTACCATGACCTAGCCCCTGTCTTCAGTAAGGTCAGTGCGACGTCCCTACCTCCACACAGACCATACGATTGCGCCATTGAACTCTTACCTGGTGCTCCTCTACCCAGCAGCAGATTGTATAATATTTCCAAGCCCGAAAGAGAAACCATGGAAAAATACATCAACGAATCATTAGCTGCTGGAATAATCCGTCCATCTTCCTCTCCCTTGGGCGCCGGGTTCTTCTTCGTGGGAAAGAAGGATGGTTCCCTGAGACCTTGTATTGATTATCGAGGTTTGAATCAGATTACAGTTAAGAACAAATACCCACTTCCTCTCCTTGCCTCTGCGTTTGAACCGGTACAGGGAGCAACAGTGTTTTCTAAACTGGATTTAAGAAATGCTTATCATCTCCTTAGGATCCGTGAAGGCGACGAATGGAAAACAGCCTTCAAAACACCCTTGGGCCAATTCGAATACCTAGTAATGCCCTTTGGTCTAACTAACGCTCCAGCCTGCTTCCAGGCCCTTGTAAATGATGTTCTCAGAGACTTTCTCAATGTATTTGTTTTCGTGTACATTGACGACATTCTCATTTACTCCAAGGACCTCGATGAACACAAGAAACATGTTCCCCTTGTTTTGCAGAGACTGCTGGAGAACAAGCTGTTCGTGAAAGCCGAGAAGTGCGAATTTCATCAACCTTCAGTCACCTTTTTGGGGTTTGTGCTCGAGGGCGGCCAGGTAAAACCATCTGAGGACAAGATTAAGGCAGTATTAGACTGGCCAGTTCCAGAGAACCGCAAACAGCTACAAAGGTTTTTAGGTTTTGCTAACTTCTATCGTCGGTTTATCAGAAACTACAGCCAGACCGCCCTTCCATTAACTTCTCTGACCTCTGTCAAACGCATTTTTCAGTGGACTCCTGAGGCTCAAGCAGCGTTTGATAAATTAAAGTCCTTGTTTTCCAGAGCACCTGTGCTTATGCAACCTGACCCAGCGAAGCAGTTTATTCTGGAAGTGGATGCTTCAGATTCTGGTGTTGGAGCAGTCTTATCCCAGAGACTAGATTCAGATAAAAGATACACCCTTGTGCTTTCTTCTCCCGTAGGCTTTCTTCTGCAGAGCAAAATTACGATGTGGGTGACCGAGAGCTCCTGGCCATTAAATTGGCGTTGGAAGAATGGAGACATTGGCTGGAAGGAGCTGAGCATCCGGTTCTTGTATGGACTGACCACAAGAACCTGGCTTACATCCAGTCAACCAAACAGGCTAATCCTCGCCAATCCAGGTGGTCAATTTTCTTCTCTCGATTCAATCTCATCATCTCCTACAGACCCGGATCCAAAAATGTCAAACCCGATTCTCTCTCTCGTCTCTACTCCGTCGATCATCCCGAGACACCTGAACCTGTTCTTCCAGCTTCCTGCACAGTGGGGGTGGTCAACTGGGAAATAACTGACCTAATCAACTCAGCCCTGGCCACTGAACCCGATCCAGGTAACGGTCCCACTAACCGAACCTATGTTCCATCTTCTGTCAGGTCCCGCCTCATCCATTGGATGCACGCCGCCAAATTCTCTGCTCATCCAGGAGTCAGCAGAACTGTAGCCCTCATCTCAAGACGCTTCTGGTGGCCCACTCTCCATAGGGACGTCAAGGAGTATGTGTTGGCTTGCCCCACATGTGCCCGTAACAAAGCCTCACACCAACCTCCTTCTGGCCTGCTCCAGCCGCTTCCTGTTCCCTCGCGTCCTTGGTCCCATATAGCCATTGATTTTGTCACCGGTCTCCCTGTCTCTCGAGGTATGTCCACCATATTCACCATTGTTGACCGTTTCTCGAAGTCCTGCCATCTTATTCCCCTTAGAAAACTTCCCACGGCCTTCCAGACAGCCCAGCTCCTTATCAAGCATGTTTTCCGGCTACACGGCATTCCCCAAGAGATCCTCTCGGACAGAGGCCCTCAGTTCATTTCCCAGGTCTGGAAGGCTTTCTGTTCTGCCCTCGGCTGCAAACCATCTCTCACCTCTGGTTACCACCCCCAATCTAATGGTCAGACTGAGAGAATGAACCAACAGTTGGAGTCAACCCTTCGCTGCCTCATTTCAAACAATCCCGTGGACTGGAGCCAATTTCTCCCTTGGATAGAATACGCACACAACTCCCTCAGATCTGCATCCACCGGACAATCCCCGTTCCAGGTTAGTCTCGGCTATCAACCACCTCTTTTCCCCGCAGACGAGAGAGAGATTTCGGTCCAGTCCGTAAACCAACACATCCGCCGTTGCCAAAGAATCTGGAGAGAAACCATCGCCACCCTCAACCGGTCAACAGAGTCCAGTAAACGCTTCGCCGACGCCAGGAGACGCCCCGCCCCCGAGTACACTGAGGGCCAGGAGGTATGGCTCTCCACTCGAGACATTCCCCTCAAGGGGATGTCTCGAAAGCTCTCTCCTAGGTTCATCGGGCCCTACAAGATCACTCGAGTCATCAACCCCTCAGCCGTCCGTCTCCAACTACCTCAGTCCCTCCGAATCCACCCTACCTTCCACGTGTCCCAAATCAAACCTGTCACCTCGAGCCCTCTGTGCCCACCTTCCGACTCCCCACCACCACCCTGGAGGTCGATGGTCATCCGGCCTTCACTGTCCGTCGCATTGTGGACTCCCGTCGACGAGGTCGCGGATGGCAGTACCTCGTCGACTGGGAGGGCTACGGACCGGAGGATCGCCAGTGGGTTCCGGGCTCGTACATCCTCGATCCTGCCCTTATCGAGGAGTATGAGCGTTCCTGCCCATCAACCTCTTCCGGACCGCCAAGGGGCGGTCGTTGAGGGGGGGTACTGTTGGGAGCTGGAGAAATTCCACCTTTCTCCAGCAGAGTCCGCCGTGGATCCTCTGAGGGAGCCTCTTGCACAGCTGCAGCTCATCAAGATCATCAGAGGATCCACTACTTAAGCTGTCTTCAGACCTTGCCTCAACGCCGCAGTGTTGTTCCAGATGGTCAGCGCTTAAGCCTAGATCCTCAGTGTTACTCTATGACTTTTGAATCCAGCTTGGATTCTAACTCTTGTCTCTGTCTTCCAGGAAACCTGTGCCTCCTCTGTGAAAGCTCAGGAAGAGCTAACCTGCCGAGCCGACCCTCAGGGCCAAACCTGAAGAATCACAGAGAACTTCCAAGCAGCTCTGGACTAGAGCTGGGAAATCCTAAACCAAGGTCTGTTCATATTAGACGTGAGACGCTGAAGCAGCAAACGGACTCTGCTGATGAACTCATCTCCAGATCCAACAGAGACCCTCCCAAAGCTAACCTCAAGAACCCTCAAGGTACAATCAGTAAACTTCAGGAAATCAAACCTCTGTTGGCAACGCTAACTGAACTGTCTCTCATGCAGACTCCGGTGAACCAGTATCCAGGCCCCGAACCTGAACCAGAATATTCTGTGTGCTTGTGCATCAATAAACTTGTTAAACTTTCCTCCCTGTGTCCGTCAGTGGTGTTCTGCATTCTTGGGTCGCTTTTAGTGAACCCATCATGACACATTAGTAAAACTTCCTCCCTTTGAAAAATGTTCTTCCTTATTTTTGTGAAATATTAGTCATATACATTTACTACTATAAATTAAAAAAAAATCCACTGTTTATATGCACAATATATAGCATGATTTAGATCACTGTTATTTTTGTAACACTGGGCTTAAAGGCCATATACTATACGAACAATTAAGAATACAGCTGTCCACATGTAATTCCAAAAAAGTAAAAAATAAACAAAACAAAAAAACAATCCATTGGACTTTGTTTCCAAGTTGTTTCCCTTCCCATCCAGGAAACTTTTTTTGATTCAAAATGTCAAAAATAGCGTTGGGTTCGAGGCTTTATAGATTGGACCAAACAAAGCCTTGTTTTGGCTTAGAAACATGCAAGTTGAACCTGCAAGCGCTTTAGAAAGGGGGGTCGTTTGGTTTCTTTGTTAACCTGTAATACCCAAAACCTGTCTAATTCTCAGAAATGGGGGTCATTAAAGATAATTGTTGGCCTGGCTGAAGAGGCGAGGTGCTCTGTTCTGCTATAATGGCGTGGGGATTGCGATGATAGCAAGAAGGAATCTACTCAAGTGCTGCATTGTAGGCTTTTGAAAGCTGAAATCTGAGTCAACCCCCTCTGTTTAAGGTTGGTTTTTTTCTTATCATAGATGGCTTCCTTCACACCCCTTTCAAACCACCCATCTTCTTTGACCAAATGAGAACATTCTGGTCCAAAAAAGAATTTCCTTTGTCCATAAGCTGTATATGTACCACCAAATCTTGTCCTGAGGAGGTCGCTCTTCTGTGTTAGGCCATGTATCTGTAGAGAGGTTGTTTGTTTCTCCAACATAAAGATCAGAGCATTCCTCACTGCATTGAACTGCAAACATCACTCTGCTCATAATTGGTCTGGGGGTTTGTCTTTAGGATGCACTAGTCTCTGTCTAAGGGTCTTGTTAGGTTTGAAATGTACTGGGATTTTGTGTTTGGAGAAAATCCTCTTGAGTTTTTTAGAGACTCCAGCAACATATGGGATGGCAATGTTTTTGTGTTTTAATATTTCCACATGATGGAAACTGGCACGCTACAGTATCACCTGAGGGATTATGTAACACAGACTTTCTCAATCCAACAAAGGTTTATACTCTCTTAAAAAAAGGAGGCTCTGACTGCTTAAAGACAATCAATCTTCTACAAATATCACAGACAATGATTTGAAAATTAAAACAGTGTCATACTCCCAGTTCTGGGTGCAGGCTGGGTTTTTCCTTTTTTCTCTCTCTGCAGGGCTGGACGGGCAGGTGCTCCTCATCAAGCTGATTCCCACCCTTTTTAAGGAGCTGGAACCAGGAGGAGGGCGTCAGTTCGTTAATGCTCCAGCGTTGGTACAACTGATCCAGAACCAAGCCTAGCACCTTAGCTTTCCCTGAATCTAACCCTGTCCTCTCTGCTCCCTTCTCCTAGAATCCAGGATCCCAAGCCTTGAAACCACTCCAGAGACCTCTTCGCTTTGGACCCCCGTTAGAGGCGTTTTCAGTCAGCCTCTAGGAACCAGTGAGGCTTCAGGCCTCAGAACCATAAGAAGCCCTCCTGCCTGAGCTCACCTGCCTGTCCACCCTCAGACACCACCATCTGATCTCACCAACCGGACCTGCACCAATAGCCTGGACCACTGGACACCATCCTCCCAAACAGACGCCAAGCCTTCCTCTCTGTGAGTCTCACACATCCCTCACTCCTCTACCTGCACCGAACAGTTTCTCACCTGTCACCAAACCTCTTCCAGCAGTATCCTGACAACCCTCCCTGCCGGACTCCTCTCTGTACACCACAAAACTTCAATAAAACCCTTAACTGATCATTGCCTCCGTGATTGCTCCTATTCAGAGTCTGAAAACCCAAACATGACAAACAGCCTATCACTCTTATTAAATAAAGCCTTTTGTCCGAACGGCCCACCTTACCACTACATATAGCACTATATGATATAGAGGTTTTGCCCATTTTAAAGGAGTGTCTGAAAGGCTAGTGGTGGAAAAATTAGCGGACTTAAAATTTCCCTCAATACATTTTGAAAAGTAGTGTCTATCCATGGTCACTAGACGAGCACAAACAACAGAATGCTTTGCGAAAGCTGTCCCCGCAAAGCATCATAGGATTTAATTTGGGGGCGAGAGAGAACAGTCAACAATATAGTCCCTGCTCTATATTGTGATTGAGGGGTTTAGGGGTTAGAGCAGATGTTCGGACACATCCAAACTTTCTTTAAGGGTTGAAGATTTATGCTACGGGTGGTATATCTATTAAACAGTTGACTGCTAGCTGGTTATGAGACCAGGTAGCCTGACTAATAAAACAGCTTTTATACTTGTATTACCATGTAACCATGTTTTATTGTGGCAGAAAAAAAGCTATTGTCTGTTTATTTTCTCTTTTAAATAAAAGTGTTATCATCTATATTTTTGCTTACCTGTTCTTTAAATTCCAAAATCATAAAAAATACAGTTTTTTTATTATACTGTGAGAGTGATAACAATCCATGTCTGCATACTAAGAGCAATAAATTAGTTACATTAAAGCTAACACTATATATTTTATTAATCAAATTACACTGATTACAGGTAACTGTTTTATAAAAAGTAGAGTACCAATGTTTGTATATTGGACATTGTATCACAAGATATAGTCATTTTGATTTTTTTCCCCCTTTAAAATCATCTAATAAAGCAATGTAGTAATGCAATGATTAAAAAGGGTCTCCATAAAGGGGAACATCCAAGGTAATTTAAGTATAGCACTTATGGTTTTTTTCTTTGACTTACATCAATTATCGACCGCAGCTCATTCCTGTCCACGTAGCCATTGCCGTCTTTGTCATACACCTTGAATGACCAGCGTAATTTATGCTCCAGGTCTCCCCGAAAAACAAGATTCAGTGCTGCCACAAACTCTAGGAAATCGATTGTGTTGTCCTATCAGATGAGTTAAATGGAAGAGTTGTATTTTATTTCGATACTTTAAATGATATCAACAGAGATAAGCAAATTTTGCTTCCTACCCCATTCTTGTCAAAGGCCCGGAACATGTTCTCTGCATAATCAGATGCTTCCCCAGTTGGGTCCACTCCAAAGAAACGTTTAAACTCATGCAGAAAAAGTACTCCACTTGGGCACTCTAGGACAAATTTCTTATACATATCCTGAAGGGATTTGACATCGATCTCCTCACAATTCCCTGTCTGCTGTGTCTGTCCCATAGCTAAACATAACAGCCCATATTCAGTCTATATCAGTCAGCTCCACAACCAAGAGCACTGACTTGAAATGGGCATCTCTTTCTGCAAGGTGGTTTTTTTTGTTGTATTAGCCATGGGAATCCTCTTTTGGAATCCTCCAGTTTGGTCATCGGCCAAGTGATTAGAGTAGCCACAGGATTAGTGACGTATCCACTAAAAGGGTTTCCTTTCAATGGGTTATACAGTTGATACAGTAAACAGCAGTCTAGACCAGGGGTAACCAATTAAAAATCAGTGCGGTCTGAATAAAGAAAATCAACAAATAGTAAAGGTCCGGAGACATTTTTATTTATAATCCGTTATTTTAAATACCATTTAACATTGAAATAAAATGAGGTGTTTATGCATCCATGTTATACATTTACTTTTCAAATAAAAACTATAAAAAACGTTTTTCCATTTTAAAATCTGTATTGTTTTTTAAGTAGAGAACAAAGCTTTTAGTTTGGTATATAGAAAAGTTACTTCTTTTTTTATAAAACACATGAACTGATATTTTTTTTTTCCTTTTTTATGGCTTAATGGAATTTTAATGGGCTTAATGGGCTTTAGGTTGACCTGCAAGGATTTTAAAACTGGGTTTGAATGGCGAAAAAGCCATTCTAAAGCACATATCAAGGAGCTCATTTTGAGCCTCAATCTATATTTATTTTTGATTATGTTCATAGTGGAGAATAATGCTTCTTATCAGCAAGATAAGCCAAACGTACTCAAAATGTGTAGGGTTATCTTTGAGCACCCCACTTTTTCACTTTTCTTTCACTAGTTCACAGCGCCTCTTTGCGTCCACACTTTCTCTGCTCTCTTTTTCTCATCGTCTTCTCCTGCTTTCCCACCGCCTGGCTTGCTGTGTCTAAAAGTAGCAGCAGCAGCAACCCTGACTGACAGAAGCTCATTGGCTAATTTGTATCATGTGTAGCCTGGTGCCGGATGCTCCGGATGGCTTTACCATACAAACAGGTCAAGCGGCGCAAGTGACGTTTAGACATTGCCGTCAGACAACATGCAGTAATTCATTAATGTTTTAAATCAGGTTGGTCCGGAATAGCCAGCAGGTGGGTCCGGATCCGGACCCTGATCCACTAATCCGTGACCTCTGGTCTAGACCAAAGAGCGATAACTAAAGTTGCGCTTCCAATTAATGTGTTAACTTTGTTGAAAATCCATTAATTATAAAAATAAAGTATGAATAACTTATCAAGAATCTTTCTTTTCATAACGACCAAAATACGATTTTTGTTTCGACACCAAGCTCAGACTGCACACATATAAATCCTGATCTTTAAAGATCCCAAATTAGGTGTACTAATTTATATAAGCACAAGAAGGCATATTGTGAATGATTCACAAATATTGCATGTGCAATGGATATGATATGGATATGATAACCAGTTTAGTTGTATCTAATCATTTAAACCAGTAAAGTGGGTTTGCTACTGGCAGTTTGGAAGAGGGTGTATTATAAAGATTATGTTCTATGCAATGTTTGTTATTATAATTATATTAAAAAATAATGATGGATTATACAGTATATAGTGCTCTTTATATATGAATATCTCAAATTCAAAAATATGAAAATATAAAGTTCAATTTAAAATATAAAAAAAACATTAAACCTGGAAAAGCTGACTTTATCAGCCCTAAGCCCCCTCTGACAGAGAAGGAGGCACATTCAGATATATGTAAAGCTTTAAACAGCTGGATGTACTCCCACCCACTCCTCAAAACACCTGCTTGACCCAAAATATTGCACACCAAGGTAGGCTAATGAGTATTTTCTTCAACATAAATAACTGCACCATACAGAGCCCTTTGAGGAACACTAAGGAGGAAAAAAAGTCCCTGTAACCATAATTAAAGATACCCACCACCACTGATAGTGACAGTTTGTTCTGGTAGCTGTAAAGTTGCTGTGTGTTAATTATTGTATATCTATTAACAGACAGCAATATTTTTAGTTCAGTCAGGGGATTTTGGCATGGAGACAGTTTGCTTCACTCCCTTTTCCTACTAATATTATTCTAAATTGTGTATCTCTGACTCAGAGACTTTCTCTTAATTATCCCATCATAGACACAAAGAAAGAGTCTGCACTTCATTTTTTAGGCTTGATAAAAATAGATGTAAAAGTGCCCCTGCAATCAGTTTCAGGTAAGATAAATCACTATTAAACAGTTTGGTCATAATCATATGATCTGCATATTATAAAGTCATGAGCAAAAACTTTGTGGCCACTTTTCTGCTTTTTTTTTTTTCTTGCATACATGCAATAAAAACTGCACCTGCTTGAAGGTGTGTACTAACTTGTTTGCAGGTTTCTATATACACTGCCCAAAGATCAGGTCCATTTAATGTAGCTAGAAATTAAACAAACTAAATATCAAAACACACAGCAATCAAGTCACAATTTCTAAAATGTTTACACCTGAGTAAAATTTATCATTTAGTTTTGATTATTAGTTATCTCATTCAATTACAAAAATCTATAATCTCTCTAAAATTGATTTAGGATAAATCAAAAATTATTTCAAGGATTAGAGAAATCACTGAAACATCAAATTGTTGATACGTTATGGTGACCAGGTATCCTCGTTTTCCCAGGCATGTCCTACTTTTCATAGCTAAAAAATGTCAGGGGGGGATTTCAAAATTGTCCGGGATTTTGGTAATCACAGTGCAGTAGAACAGAGCCATCAGCTGGAGAGAAAATATGAACTGAATACTTTCTGCAATATGTTCAATTCAGGAACAAGCTACTCATCCTTCTCTCTTGCTCAAAGTCACATTGGCATCCTCTTCTGTTTCTATGAGTTTTTTGTCAGCCAGATTAGAAGATGATGATGCTCCCTCCATCTTCCATTTGTCAGTCTCTAGATGAAGAGGCAACTGGAGGGATTGAATCATAATAAGTCACCAGGTCCTATGGTGTGAAACAATCATCTGATCCTGAATGTGAACAAATCAAGGGAAATGATTGTGGATTTTAGAAGAGGCAGGAACAAACTGAATTCTATTAACACCATGGGAGAAGAATCTGAGGTAGTGGAGGAGCTTAATACCTTGATGTTCACAACAAACTAGACTATAGAAACAAGTGTGAAGTTGTCTACAAGTAAGGACAGAGCAATTCTCTTACCTCACAATTTTTAAAATGTTATTATCATTATTATTACCTAATAAAACATTGGGTTCTTTGGCATATGCAACAAGATGCTATATATCTTCTAAGTGATCTCTTCCTTCATCATTTGCTGGGGTAACAGCATCAGAAAAATTGACTTAGAAAAGCTCAACAAGCTAATAAAGTAGGCTGGCTCTGTTTTATGAACTTATCTGGAACCTCTTATGATTATTTCACAAAGAAGAATTCTTCATAAAGTGAAGAGGATCATGGACAACAGTGAGCCTCCTCTTTAGATGTTTTGTTTGAACAACAACAGAGTTTTCAGTAAGAGGTTTCTCCAGATCTGGTGCAAGACATAAGATCCTTCTAGCCTACAAATAACAACACCCACAACAGCTAGAAAAAAAAAAAAATCTATGAGTTACTGCAACATGTAATTTTGAGGTGGGGTCTGTATAAATAGTTGATTAAATTGTATTTTATTTAAATGTATCTCGCAGTTATGCATTTTGACTTCAGGGCAAACAGTTCAGTTGAAAGTCTTCTTTTAACTTTTTCTTTTTTACTTTTTCTCAGAATAACTAAGAAACTTAACAACAGAACCTTCAGTCTTTTTACTAGCATAGTAAAGATTTTTCTTTAACATGTTATTTCCAAATACATGTTGAATGTTTTACTATTATTATTATTATTATTATTATTATTATTATTATTATTATTATTATTATTATTATTATTATACATTTTTTATCTGGGTAGGGCTAGGTTTGCGAACTAGTGGTATCATCAGAATGGCTTATGCCTAAATCTGTTTATGCCCTTAATCTGTCTCAGTGTAGCTTCTCTTGATAAAGTAGCTAAGAGGGTGTAATGCTCAAGGTCAGACTAATAGGGAATTGTTTTATCAATCTCTCAGATTAAAGATATGTTGTGAGAAACTAAATCCTTCTCAGTCAGATGATTCCTCGCTAGGGCCATAACACCAGCTCCTGATAAATATAAGTTATTTGTTAAGAGCTGTATAAAAGTCCTAATTTGTCTTCCCCTTTGTGGGACAGCTAACAATTACTATATCAATGTAGCCTTTTTTAATGTAGGCTCAAATCATGTCTTTAACTTAATGATGCCAATGAACATATATCAGGAAAAAATCCTAATAGGAAAATCAGAGAACTAGTACTATATTATGCAGACTTGAATCCATAACGCTGAAGGCTGGGATAAAGCAGACTGTTAGGGTGCTGAAAGCTTGAGTTCTTCTGAATCAGTAAATAATCTTGCCTTATCTTGCAATGGGTCAAGTGTTATCAACTTTAATTTTCTCTCTACCACTATTTTTTGATTGTCTGTACTAAATATTTAGTATTCAAGGAATGCAATACTTCCTTGACAAGCGGCCGCATTAGGCAACAACCCTCTGATCCATGTATGTTCATACATGACATGCAAAGGATTTAGTCTCATGCTTAACTGCAGCCCAAGATTAGGACTATAGACATGACAATGTAGTATACTATAAATCTATGGGTATAAAGTAAGATTATAATAATCATTTCAATTAATTTGAAACTAGGACAGTCTAGGTTTTCAGGTTTTCTGTTTAAGTAATTATTAGCAGCAGTTAGGGAAAGGTGTGATAGTGTAATAGGATATTTTGTGAATGTCTTGACATTTTAAGAAGGTAAGAGAAGGAAACCCATCACCCATCTAATTGCATTCTTATGTTAAATATTTAATATAGTATCACCTCAGTTAATGTGTTCGCAGTATTAACTATACATTATTTTTTTTTTATATTTTTTTTCTACAAGGACATTATAGTAATAGAATAATAGAATAATAGAATAATAGAAATATAGTAGCAAGGGTCAGTAATTAAGCTCTAGCACCAAAAACATATGTTAGCTTTTTAAGTCTACCTTTCATTTATGTACACTCAAAAGACAATT